GTCCTTGGCTTTAACTAGTTTGTGCCTGAGTGTTGGCTTCGAGCTATATCCTAACCGAATTTGGTGGGGCGCTAAAATCCTAGCAATTCTTTCGCTGGTTCCTTTGACGTAGGGGATGCTAATGTACGTAGTACGGGGTCGTTCGGTTGTCTGGTCGTCCGGTGCGGCCGGATCTGTCCGGTCGGGTCGCCCAGCGGTCCGTTGGGCTCGGTCATCGGTTAGCTCCTGTCTCTGCTGCTCCGTCGCAGCCCGCTTTTTGGACTTCAGCGCTCGTCTCACGTAATGTCTCGGGTAGCCATTTTCCTCGAAGACTTTTTCTAGGCGTGAAATTTCCTCCTTCCGAGCGCCCTCCTCGTTGCATACTGTTTCAGCACGTTTGGCTAGACATTTGATGACACCCGTTTTTATGGAGTCTGCATGGTGAGAACTGAAGTGGATATATATGTTGGTTGCTGTAGGTTTTCTGTAAACCGTTGTTTTCAGCGCGTTTCCCGCTTTCGCCACTTCTACGTCCAAAAAGGGAATCTTCCCATCTTCTTCGACCTCTCGTGTGAATTGTATGTTCGGGCATGCGTTGTTCAGATGCCTATGGAACTCGTCTAACGCGTCCATCCCATGTTGCCAGACCACAAAAGTATCGTCCACGTAGCGCCGCCAGTATTTTGGCTTGAGATGAGCGGTTTCAAGAAGTGTTTTCTCGAGAGTCTCCATGAAGCCGTTTGCCAGTGCGACTGATAAACTAAGGCCCATAGGGGCTCCTTCAAGCTGACTATATAACTGGCCGCCACACTGAAAATAGCTACAGTTTAGGCACTCCTTCATCAGTGCTCTGATAGAACCGACAGACAGTCCACACCTGTCTGGGAGTGTCTCGTCATTGAGAAGCTTCTCACATACGGCGTCTATGGCTTCGTCTGTTGGGACCCTCGTGAATAACGATGTGACGTCAAAACTAACCATGATGTCGTCTGGTGAGAGTGTCAGGCTTTTGACTTGCTCAACAAACTGCGCGGAATTTGAAACCGTATGCTCCGTTTGTCCCAGCACAGGTGAAATGATCCTGGTTAAAAATCCCGCTACCTGGTAGGCAGGTGAATCGATCATACTTGTGATTGGGCGAAGTGGCACGCCAGGCTTATGAAGCTTTGGTAAACCGTACAGTTTTGGAGCCATTGAGTGAGCTGGTAGCAACTGCTGCGCTTGTTTAGCTGACAATTCACCCTTGGCCTTGATCTGACTTATCAGATCTCTCATTCTTCTTTCTTTCGTTTTCGTTGGATCTCTGTTAATTTTGCGGTCTGCCGATCAGTACGCTGAAAAACTAGATGAACTGCTAGCGGACCGCGCGTACCGCAAAATTAACAGAGATCCAACGAAAACGAAAGAAAGAAGAATGAGAGATCTGATAAGTCAGATCAAGGCCAAGGGTGAATTGTCAGCTAAACAAGCGCAGCAGTTGCTACCAGCTCACTCAATGGCTCCAAAACTGTACGGTTTACCAAAGCTTCATAAGCCTGGCGTGCCACTTCGCCCAATCACAAGTATGATCGATTCACCTGCCTACCAGGTAGCGGGATTTTTAACCAGGATCATTTCACCTGTGCTGGGACAAACGGAGCATACGGTTTCAAATTCCGCGCAGTTTGTTGAGCAAGTCAAAAGCCTGACACTCTCACCAGACGACATCATGGTTAGTTTTGACGTCACATCGTTATTCACGAGGGTCCCAACAGACGAAGCCATAGACGCCGTATGTGAGAAGCTTCTCAATGACGAGACACTCCCAGACAGGTGTGGACTGTCTGTCGGTTCTATCAGAGCACTGATGAAGGAGTGCCTAAACTGTAGCTATTTTCAGTGTGGCGGCCAGTTATATAGTCAGCTTGAAGGAGCCCCTATGGGCCTTAGTTTATCAGTCGCACTGGCAAACGGCTTCATGGAGACTCTCGAGAAAACACTTCTTGAAACCGCTCATCTCAAGCCAAAATACTGGCGGCGCTACGTGGACGATACTTTTGTGGTCTGGCAACATGGGATGGACGCGTTAGACGAGTTCCATAGGCATCTGAACAACGCATGCCCGAACATACAATTCACACGAGAGGTCGAAGAAGATGGGAAGATTCCCTTTTTGGACGTAGAAGTGGCGAAAGCGGGAAACGCGCTGAAAACAACGGTTTACAGAAAACCTACAGCAACCAACATATATATCCACTTCAGTTCTCACCATGCAGACTCCATAAAAACGGGTGTCATCAAATGTCTAGCCAAACGTGCTGAAACAGTATGCAACGAGGAGGGCGCTCGGAAGGAGGAAATTTCACGCCTAGAAAAAGTCTTCGAGGAAAATGGCTACCCGAGACATTACGTGAGACGAGCGCTGAAGTCCAAAAAGCGGGCTGCGACGGAGCAGCAGAGACAGGAGCTAACCGATGACCGAGCCCAACGGACCGCTGGGCGACCCGACCGGACAGATCCGGCCGCACCGGACGACCAGACAACCGAACGACCCCGTACTACGTACATTAGCATCCCCTACGTCAAAGGAACCAGCGAAAGAATTGCTAGGATTTTAGCGCCCCACCAAATTCGGTTAGGATATAGCTCGAAGCCAACACTCAGGCACAAACTAGTTAAAGCCAAGGACGTACCACCAAAGGATTTGCAAAAAGGTGTCATTTACAAGACTACTTGTGATTGTGGTGCCACGTATGTTGGCGAGACCGGGCGTCCTAAAAGCACGCGACTTAAAGAACACGTAGCAGCCATAAAGCATGGGAGGTCAGATACATCCCCTTTAGCTGAACACTGGCTCCAGTGTCGCCAACCATTTGACCCAGGTCAGGCTAGCACGCTGGCGGTCGAGCCAGCATGGTCCCGCCGTGTCGTAAGGGAGGCCATCGAGATTCGATTATGCAACCCATCACTGAATCAGGGTGTCGGAAAGTTCTCCCTTAGCCCTATATGGGATAGTGTTTTAAAAAAGTAGACCTACTGGAGTACGAACTGTGTGTAAGTTGTGTCACGTGTTTTAGCATCGATCACTTTGAGAATTTCGTGGATGGCGGTATAGCATGATTATTGCTTGTTTTTTGAATCGCATTGCCCCTTTGAAGACCTGTCAATAAAGGTCGAAGTACAGGGAAATAATAACTTCTTTATACCCAGAGTCAGTCCGCGAAACGATTATTATAATCAATTTTTATCAATGCACTCGAGACATTCTCCCAGACTCTTGCAAGATTTTATAAAACATCAAATTGTTTGGCAAAATGTTTTTGATGACATTTGAACTCGAATCAGCTGCTTGAAATAAAAAGTACAAATAAATGAATGGACAATAAAAAAGGACAAAAAAAAAAAAGACAAAAAGACAAGCGTCATTGATCACTGTTATTATTTTGTTCCGGCCATTTTTTTAATGCACCAGGATTGTCCGCACCAAACTCCGATGTAGATAGCTGCTGTACCCAATCAGCACATCAGCTTGTCGCCATCGTAACATGCATTTTCCAAACAATCAGCTGGCCCGTCTCTCCATCTTCGACGCTGACGGCTCATCCCCATAAGTCACAAACGGCGTCAAACCATATTATTTCACTCTGCCCCTCGCCATACATATCGCAGCTTCTTTCAAATGCATGAGATGACACCGCCGGACGTCGGTCAGAAATACTAAGCCAGTTACAATTCATCATATTTTCCCACGTCAGCCGCGTCGCCATATGCAGGCGTCTCTCGCCACGGAGCAGTGCTCCCTCAACCTTCTGCATTATTTCGGGACACCGCCTGATCCCCGCTGACATGGCCCGATCCAGGGCGTCATCCACTGGGCTGCTGACGGGGCAGACGGTCTCCGATGACGACACGCAGCGTCATCCGTGGCGAGTAAGTGACGTAGTGGGGTGTTTGGGTGGATAAGCAATGTGATATGCGTGATGTGTAATGAACTGTGCCGTGCTGTGGATTTCGCATACGGGGATTGTGGAACGTTTATTACGAGCGAGCGAGCGCAGCGAGCGAAGCGAGTCTTTTCAATACAACGGAAAAATCTCAGTATGAGCGGCCCGGCCCGGCCCGGCCCGGCCTGTAACGCTTTTGAGAGGCTTATATCTCAGCAACCGCTGGACCGATTGGCCTGCGGTCTTTTTTGCTGGGTAGCCCCATCCCTTCTACCCCGTAATAGACTACTTTTGATGCATCTCAGTGACCGTCGTGGCACGTGCCACGTGAAAAGTCAAGTGTGTTCAAGCTGTTTTGCAAAAGTAGTGATTTTGAGAGGCTCATATCTCAGCAGCCGCTTGGGCGATTGACTTGCGGTAATTTTTGTAGGGTAGCAGCATCCCTTCTTCCAAAAATAGGATACTCTCGATGCATGTGGGTCACCCCCAGTGCACGTGCAAAATACAACAATAAGAGGTGTCAAATTTGTTCCCATTTTAATAACTCGGTAATTACTGGGGCGATTTCGCTGAAACTTGGCATACAAGTAGGCACCCACCAGGCAATGCATTCCCATGTGTTGCGGATAAGGTGCTACTGCACGTGCGCACGTGCATGAGGCGCTTCCAGATCTCGAGAACGGCTGGGCCGATTGCGCTCAAATTTGGTACACGGTTAGGGGCCAGTTAGTAGGGTGCCGTGCACAAGTCAGTTGTGACCCATTTTGCACGTGCGCACGTGCAGGGTGCCGCTTCCAGATCTCGAAAACGGCTGGGCCGATTGTGCTCAAATTTGGCACATCGCTAGAGACCGGTTAGTAAGGTGCCGTACACAAGTCAGTTGGAGGTACCCCCTCGAAATTTCGCACGTGCAGGGCTCACTATCTCGCTCGCTCGTTCTTCGCCCAAAAGGCGTTTTACTGGTGATATGATATCGCTGAAATGTATCGGTAAGGGGACATCCGTCAGGCATCGGTTTGGAAGACCCGTGCATATACATCAACAGTAGATGAGCTACAGCGTTTGTTATTAGACCTTAAATATAAACAAAGGCTTAGGTGATTGATGTATCATTCGTATTTAACAATACTTTGGACGTCCAAGTGAAATGATGTGAGCCAATGTTACATGATAATAATGCCACGCTCTATAACTCGCCGTGCAATTTATGTGCGGCACATATTGCGAAGAATATCTCGTACCACTTCTTCACCGATTCCCCGTCCCCGTTGACGCTGGTCTGCTGACACAGCGTCAACAGCCCACACTCCTCCGCTATAACACTCCAATAGCATTCGTGCCAGTCGTCAAAGTCATGGCGCCACCCCTTCACCGACCGACCGCCGCTAGTTATGGGGACGTCTCCCTGCTAGTGCACCAGTGCGTCACTAGCCGTAACGCTTTATCGACCCCATGTCACTCATACCGCTGTGAGGGTCACATGTCATTCGCCACCCGGGATCGCTATGAAGGTTCCTGTCACTCCCTATAACCGTTGTGATGAGCCTGCGTCACTCGTCTCCACCGTGAGGCGTGACGATCCCGTTCGTCAGCCTCTACCACTGTGTCAGTCCCTATCTCTTCAAGGCCCTCTGCAGTCTGCTGTTCACTGCCTCCATGTTGTTCTTCTGTCACCACCACCATGCCACCGTCCCCGTCACTCCCCACGCCGCGCTCAGCGCGCCAGGCCGCTGCCGCCGCCCATGCTCGAGTGTCGGCTGGGGTTCTCGTAAGCCGGGGGCACCACCTGGTACTGCTGGATCGAGTCGGTGGCCGTGGGCGCATAGCTGGCCGAGCGGGCGCGCTCCTGGGCCGTCTTGGAGGCGTCGGTCGCGGCGGCCGACGCCAGACTGCGGATGATGACGCAGCTGAAGATGAAGCCGACCACCTGGAGGCCGATCAGGACGGCGATCACCGTGTAGCCGAAGATGGCGTAGCCCGAGATGACGCCGCGGATGGCGTCGCTGCAGCCGCGGGAGAAGATCATGGTGATGTTGGTGATGACGTGAGGGTGCACGGTCGACCTGTTGCACTCCATGTAGTCTTCCTGGGTGATGAGCGGTGAGTTGCAGCAGGATATTGGTATCGAGTGGTTCACTTTGACGTAGTCCATGTAGGAGTTGACGCCGCAGCACTTGAGTTTTCGCTGAATGGCGTGAATGGCCTTCCAGTCATCTCCTTGGTAGTCCTCAGAGTATTTTATCTTTGTCAAGACGAGCTCCTCGACGACTGCCGGTGCCTGGTCCTTCTGCCAGACGATGATCCCGATGACGACAATTTGTACGGCCAGGGCGACTCCCAGGAGGCCGGCATAAGTCACCAGCAGGCACCGGTGGTCTGCTGCGGCTCCACAGCATCCCATCAGGCCGATGACAATCACCAGGGAACCGGTAACAAGGGCAACGACGCACATGACGACGCGCGCCTGAAGCAGCATCTTCTCTGCGTCGGCGAAGCTGGCGCCGGCCAGCCACAGGTCCGGCCTGTCATCGGTGTCGACTTTTGTGATGAGGTAGAGGTAAAACCCAGCCAGGCATACCCCAATGACGCCCACAAACCATATTATGAGGTTTAGAGCAAACACACTCAACTTCAAACACCGTAGGCAGGCTGTCGACATCGCTTACTCTGTGATGCACCTGTTTACCGCATGCAGCAGGCAGCTGCGTTAGCATTTAAATTAACGTTCATGCATCGAATAATTACGTTTATATTGAGTCGTAATAATATTGAATTCATTTGCCTTTATTTTAATCAAATTCTTATAATTACACTGTCTTTTCCATTTTACTAGCAGGTATCACGCTTTTAATTCCGCAACGCCACATCGCCATATGTCGTCATTTAAAAACGTTATTCCTCGTGGAAAAATGCATCTAGATCTCGACACTTGGGAGAATGATTCAATATTCATACGCCCATCTACCCAACTTTGCTTCATATTGAATGAACATTGAAGATCATGCTGCATTATTTTTTACCTATACCTATATATCGACTGTTCCTAATTTCCTTCTATTAATCCATTCATTTATTATTTATAATTTATCACTTATTCATCCATTTTTTATAAATGCATCTATCGGATGCATTTAAAATATAGATGAACGGATGCTGAGTCAAGTCATCATTGGACAGCAAGTCAAACATCAATCTAATAGCAACCTTTCTCGGAAACCTTCAATTTTATTTGTTAGCGGTGAAGCGTAATGTTCACATGACATTTTAGGCGATGCTATATCCGGCTATTGACATTTATGTTTCCATGTGGAAAGGATGTATTAAAGTTGGAGGCACTGCACATCTTTTGTTTAGGTGTTACGTAATTAAACATATGGGAGTGGCTTTCATCGATATGGTGCCCATAGCTAAATGCTAGGGGCATTAGGGGCAAATGCTCTTAATTGAGCAATAGGTAAGCATATTAAAACGAATCTTCAAATAAATAAAATTAAACTATAGGGGTAGCGGGGGTAGCACCGCCATGTGGGCAACACCGCCATCCCCTCTATCGGCAAAACTCTGAATTGCAAAGGTAAACACCCGCCATTTCGGTGTCCGAACGGAAGCGGGGCGCCGCGTGAGGTAGGTTTTGCTAAGATTTATTTCATTTTGAGATCGCAATTGCCCATTTTGTGAATTTCTAACCATCGTTGTAAATTGTAATCATTTGGCATGTTTTAGCAGCAAGTAAGTGGTCATTTCAAGCCAAAATACCTCGATTTTTACGTTAAAGGGACCCTCCCACCTTCAAAAATGTTAATGAATTGGCATGAAAGTGATGTCGCTCGGTTCAGAAAGAGCGAAAACGAATATCTACCAAATTTCATCGAAAAATATTCACCGGTTTTCAAGATATTAGACTTTTACTATTGTTTACTTTTTGGGATCTCCGCTGTTCCTAGCGACTTTATTTGAAAGTGCGGCATTTGTTGCGCGCAAAGCAGCATATACCACCGCGTGCTACCAAACGTTTTAGTAAAAGATTTAAAAATCGTTATATCTCCGCTGACGTCACAAATTCTAAGGGGGCACACCAATGCATTAGCCCCTTAGAATCCGAAAACTGCAAGTTTGAAATTCCATATCTCCGAATTAAAGCATTTTTCGATGTTATGAGTGCCCAAACCGGTATTTTCAGGCCATGGGCACCAATTTGGCTATCTCAACTCAAAACTAATGTTAAGGTGGGATGGTCACTTTAAATTTGAGGGCATGAAGTGCTCTTCGTTGATAAGGGAATTACAGAAAAATCGCGTCCCGGCTTCTTTTCCCGTCGGGGCGTTGTCGGTCCATGACTGTATGTGGGGTAACACCGCCATGCTCGGCGGTGCTACCCCAAGGGGTGGCAAAATGGATAAAGCCGCAATGATGACTCACTCAGCTCGGAGAAGAGCTTTAGTTAGGCCGCAAACGTCGTCTGTTTTTGAACCTCAGCGTTCGACTTCACTGGATGTTTCGAAAAAACGTGATTTGCCAGGCTTTGTATGCATATTGTCCGCACCAAACAGTCTGATCTGTGGCAAACTAACAACCAACTCTTGTGTGTCTTATATGAGTATGAGTTACTATTTCAGACGGCAGTAACGCTACCAAGGGCGGCTGTCACCGTAAGGCCGATCTGTGGATAACACCGACATCGGTGGCGGTGCTACCCGCACATTTTTGGAGGACGAAAAATGCAGGACTTGTTTTCAATGTCTGTAAAGTAGCGAAATTTTATAATGGAGCGCTGGAAACTTTGCCAACATGTAGGAAAACATCCCTACTTTCACATGAATGCAAAAGAGCTTCGTTTTTACTACGCATATCAGCTCGGTGAGCAGAAATGCTTAAGGTGGCGGTGCTCCCCCCGCTTCCCCTAATGCACCGTAAAATGTACCTAACTACATATGCATGTATATGCAACAGCTAACTTTAACTCAAACTTACTGTTAAGTGTAGGTATATTTAACGCACAATGCATTAGCCTTTAGGTTAGTACCTATACCTAAAGCTAAGTAAAAAGAAAAAACTTAAAATGAATATGTAAACCAATCTGTTGGGCATTAGACATGGCTTTTAATATATGCCTATGCACACACTACGCAGCCTACGGCACATAAATGCCAAGAAACATATGTTTTATATGTCTCACCCTGTTCAAATCAAAGATTTGAAATATCCCACTACTGTCTACTAAGTAGTGCTGAAACCACTGCGGAGGCACTGCCTCCAATTCTAATTGTTCCCACTTCCCGGTCATTGCCCGTTGCCGGGGGAGTGGGGACCTCTCCCCTCTGTGTTAGCTGGTGACCCCACCCGACGCGTGTCGGACGGGTGATCAGACCCGATACGTCACGTGGAGGCCAGCTCAGCACCCGGGTGGTCGCCTCCGCCCCTCTTCTATCGACGCCGTCTGTGCGGTTAGGTTAGGTTAGTCAGGGATGAAGGGAGAGCGGTGAAGCAAGACAAAAAAAGTCGAAGTGAGAGCAGTGGTTTGTGGGTTGCGTGCGCCGTTTACCCTCATGAGAGTTGAGTTAGGGCAGTGCATGTGCATTGTTTCCGTGTGACGACCCACCTGGTAGTTTCCGTAGCCAAGGTGGTCGCACGGGCAGCGGCAGCTCTGGAGGTGCTCCTCCAAGTCCGGAGGAATGTCCACCAGACACTCTGGAGGAGGCGGCGGAGTGTCTGGGCACTCAGGAGGTCCCTCGGCCCTCGCCAAAAGGTCCAGTCCCCGGAACCCTCCCAGTTCCGATGCATGGGGCGGCCGAGACGGCAGCACGTGGGGAAACGCCACGTCATACGGAGGGGTACTGACGTCATACGGAGGGGTGCTAACGTCATACGGAGGGGTGCTGACGCCGTACGGAGGATCAGTGACGTCATAAGTCGGAGAGTCCTGCCCGGAGAGGCGCCTCATGGGGATGGTTTCCGGGTCGGGGACGGAGCGGTCCACCGGTACCTGTCCGTTCCGCTGACTCCAGGCCATCGCGGCTCGCTGCCGGAGCCCCACGCGCAGCGCGCCGGTCACACGGACACGGCTCCGATTAGCGCCGGTTTGGCCGCGCCGTCACGTAGCGCGGCGCCTCTGTCTCGCCGCGGCGCCGTCTCTGAGAGCCGTACCCCGTCTCAGGGGAGATCACTCGACGGCGGCCGGCACGGCTCGACCAACACAAACAGACTCATATCGCGGCCGGCGGGCCGCCGCGAGATGCCGCACCACGCTCGAGCCTCGTACCTCACCGCCGCACGGCCCACTGCTCCGCGGACACACGGTCGCCGCAGCGAGACACGGCGCCAACGCTCGCTCGTCGTCCGCGACGCTCCGCCCGGCCGTCCGTCGCCGACTGCAGCTCGGACGCGTCGCCGGCGATGGGAACCGACGGCCGGCGCGTCGCCGCAGAACGTCCGACGAGCGAGGCGAGGCTGCAACAGGTCGGCGAGGGTTTCACGCGGAAGAGAAAGCTCCTTATTGATTGTGGGCAAAAGATTATGCTAGGGAAACTGAAGGGTTTCTGGTTGATTTGTTCGATCATTATTGGTCAAATTGATTCGACATAGGGATTTGAGAATACCACACCTATCCCTCAAAATCGGAAAATCAATTGTAACTATAATCCGATTTAGAAGAAACCCCTCTATCATCTAAAAAAAACTTGAACGAAAACATGTTAAACTATGTTTTACAAACAACAACAACACGGATCACGCATTGCGTTAGAGGGCGAGAATAAGAGCGAGAGAGAAAGAGGAGCCAGAGAGGAGAATGAGAGGAAATGACTTTGAAGCCTGAACACAGGAAGCCTGAGCGAGAAGGCCAGCGGTGCACACGGACGTCGCCGTAGGTAAACAATTCCACCGCGACAAGAAAATACCACGACACCCGTGAACGAACGTCAATTTATGGCTGCTGACTCGGCTACAAACAGAATAATGCAGTTTGGTGTCTCGGCCCGGAACAAATCACCGGGGTCTGCTGAGCGAACGATCGCGATGCAGTTTAGAGCACAAAGGCGTGCGACGTCGCGTGCGTACCTATGTCGATTCAAACCCTATAATCGTACCTACGCGGTGGAACGGTGGAACACGGGACACTTGATTGTTTTCAGTATCATTATTTATTGCGCCATGCACATATGGGACTATACATATAGCAAACAGGAATACGAGTAGGGGAAACCCGGGAGGTATGGGCCCCCGGGAGATATGGGCCATCGAAGTTTTTAAAAAGTGTTGCGTATTTTTACACATTTGACCGCGTAAACTGGTAGCAGCCATTTCGTCATACAACCCAAGTGATTTCCAAAATATTCCTCAGTCTTTTTGGCGATGGGTGGTGATAAAGCGTTTTTGTCCTTTTCGAGTAAAATACGATACATAGAGGAAATTCGTGATTTATGTGAACCAGGCTTGTTTTATCATGTCAGGCCATCGCTAAGATAAAGTTTAAAGCATGCAAATTAAGACTGGATAGACAATTTAAAGTTTTCTTGCAAGATTACGAGCTGAGATGCTACGCGCATTCTGGCGTCCTAACCGGGAGGTACGGGCCACCCACCCTCGGTGATAATAAATCAATAAAATGATGAATGATGATAAAATCACTCAATGTCCTCTTCAATATGTTTTATTCTTGTCGCGCAAGGTCGAAAATTTAACTACTAATTGCATTCGAACAGAAAAACATATTATTTGTCGTATACGACAAATAATATGTTTTACTAAAACATCTTAAACTCCAGCTACGAGCATTGTTCTCAATGTCGAGAAAAGAATATGAAACATGGCACCGGCCCATACCTCCCGGGCCATGGCCCATACCTCCCGGTGTATTTTGATGGATCGAAAAAACGCATGATTTATTTAAAGTTTTCTGAAGACAAAATAGTTGATCCCAGATGCCTAATACATGGCACACTTGATAGGCGAAAGGCAATTTCACGTACACAGAGTGAAAAACCAGGTCTAGCCTACCCACTTGAAGAAAATTGCCTTTTCACAAAACCGGCCCATACCTCCCGGGTCTCCCCTAATAGGGCGACGGCGGTGTATGGTAAATCTCTATAGGGACTACGATGGTACTATCTAAGCAAGGTTTGGTATGTGAGATGACATGTTTCCTTCGCTTTTTATGTTCTCACTTCTCGACAAAACCAAACCCACGCCAATAAAAAAGCGGATTAAAGCAGGATAACGTCTTACCCTGACAACGATACGCCAGTGACAAGGCGGCGGAGTCAATTGATATCCGCCTACTCTGACTCCTACTTCCATCCTACTCCGATTTCGGCTTGCAAAAATAGACTCGAAACACCGACTGCGGGCAGAACTGTCGAATCCGACTATACACACAGGCTCCGATTCCACGATCCCGGTGCGTTCTGCCATTTTTATCTTATCGGGAACACACCTCTCGGCCATCAAACCCGTGCCGTATAAACGATACACTTCTCGGCACTCCCTACAAGCCTCACGCCACACAGCCCCAGCTTGCATCGGCCGGATACGCGGACGCCCCTCCCGACCACCGTCCTCCCAACAGTAGCACCCCCTCCCCCCATCTGCGACACCTGACAGGCCCTCTTCATAGGCGGCGGAACGGGGAGGGTACCGGGGCACCGTGCCCCCTTTGATTTTGGCATTTTAACATTAGCCCTACGGCCGTTGCATGGAAAGAATGGGACCAAAAGTCGGCAGTGCCCCCCCTTTAATTGAAGGTGTTCCGCCGCTACTGGCCCTCTTCACCGGCTACGCCTCTCCCCACCGGTAACACACCCTTCCCACCGGGCAGGCGCGGATACAAGGGGGGGGGGGGGCCATGGGGGCCATGGCCCCCCCCTTGGCCGATTTTTTTCAAAAATAAAATAAAAAGTTAAAAAGCTGAAAAGGGGGCCTCCTGAAAATAAAGTGGCTATTCATGTTGAGATGTTGCCTGAACAGCTAGATAAGCTCAATAGACGCAGTTTTTTTTTTGGGGGGGGGGGCCCAACAAGTGGGAAGATGGGGCCTCCAACAGGTGGGATTATGGGGGCCTCCTAGTTTCTAATGGCCCCTCCCTTGGAGATTTTCTGGATCCGCCCCTGCCACCGGGTACGCCCCTCCCAACCGTGACACGCCCCCTCCTGCCGGGGACACACCCTCCACAGCTGGGGCGCCCGACATGCCCCTCCCCACCGGGGACACACCCCTCTCGGCTCTCACTGCGGACACCCCTCCCCAGTCCCCCGTCCCTATCGGGGAGCTCACACGTCACAATCCGCCCCCTCGCCGGGGAGTGGGGACACACCTCTGTCGCATCTCGAGCTCCGAGCCCATTTGAAGGTCACGCTCCGGCCCTAACGCCAGGCACCAGAACTGTTTCTCAAGGTCGCGCGGACCGCCATCGACGTTGCATCATTTTTTTCACCCGGCCGTCTGTGGTGTGTTTACATTCGGATTGGCCACGCCATGCCACGCCAGCTCGCCCAGGCCTCAGGCTATTGGAGCTTAGAGCCACGAGACATGCTATTCATGACGTCTTAAAAAGCCAGTTGGATTCATCGTTGGCTTCAGGTGGATCAGGTTTTATGCAAGGAAAATGTCCGGAGCGTGTAGGTAGGGCCTAGGTAACATAGGCGGCGGAACGGGGGGAGCACCGGGGCACCGTGCCCCCCCCCCTGATTTTGCCATTTTAACAATAGCCCTATGGGCGTTGCATGGAAATAATGGGACCAAAAGTCGGCGGTGCCCCCCTTAATTGAAGGTGTTCCGCCGCTACTACTAGGTAAGACATAGGGGAAAATGCAGTTTTAGGTCAGCTCTACTTTGGTCACTTAGTTTTGCCTATTCAATTTGATTTCTGGTAAGTTATTCGGTTCCCAGCTTTTCAATGTTGTAACATGTAATTATGTGATTTGTTCAAATCACAACACTATTCGATCAATTTCTGCACGAAAGTTTGCTTTACTATCTGAATATTTTCGAATGAGTTGGATTTTTTAAGCTTTATCTCATGCAATGAATCAAAGGAACCAAATGACTGGCAACCAATGACGTCATATACAACATCCATACCAAAGGTAACGGCTTTTGCAACTGTCGCCATTCCAATTCGATGACCTTGACCTTGGAGGTCGTGTGAGCGGGGCGGCGCGTGTGGCGGCGGGAATTAGAGAAGGTGGGTAACGTTTTCTAAGTAATTTAGGTACATAATTAGGCAGTGTGGTCGCAAAATGGTTCATCTTGCTCGAAAATGGATGTTTTTAATTTATTTGTCTTATTGTTGGCTTTTGAATGCTGAAAACTCATGTTTCAGCTGGCGAGCGTCGAGCACCTTGACCTCAACATGAACTGGAGCCTGATAAATATCAATATTGGCTTGGACCTTGCTTGTAAACTATTCTATGTAAATGCAATTGATTCGACAGCCTTATTAGAGGATGGATTGAATTCTTGTTGTTATTATTTGTTTGCTTGCATCGGCATGCACTGTTGATTTCAATTTGCTCACTTTGCCCTACCCTACCTTACACTTTACAGTGTTTTTAATTCTTTTCAATTTGAAAGATTAAAGTGTTGTGTTGATATGCAGTTTTAATCAATTTGTACAATGCAAGACTTTGTTGAAATATTTAATAGATATCTACCGACTACCATGCAATTTTACTAGGTAATATGTATGGAAAAGCTATGGACAGAACTAGAACAGTTGAACAGCATATGTGTCAATCAACAACAGTGTTTATCTTGTCTTACAAGGGTGGCTTATATCATGTTGATATGCTTTTATGATCAATGATCAAGATAGCACCCATCATACAATAGTGCCAGTGTGTAGGACATTTACAAGCCTGTGCCCTGTACTTCTGGCTCAGGCTTAGGTATGGCAACAAAGCCTTTGCGTGCTGGATCGGAATGCTGTCCTAGCATGCATGTGCTGTAACTTAACAGACTGCAGATCTGAGTCTAGGACTACCTACTTGGACTAGGACTCCTAACCTCCCAGATCTAGACTGCCTGTGCAGATGCAGAATGAAATGTTAAGGAAGTGGTTATTGTAGCAGGATAACACATTTTATTGTCTAACACCTCAAATATATTTCAGAACATGCAAATCAGCTTATTGAAAATCTTTTTGCTTAGTTTTCCATATGCTATTTTGCATTAACTTGATGCTGGCTGACTATAAAATAATATATTTTATTTAAAGATAATGCTGATTTACTCATTTCTGCTGCCAAGGCTGTTTGTTTCTAGCTATATGGGTAGTGGGTATAGTACCCAATGGCAATGGCAATGGTAATGCAAACTTTTGAGATAAATACATAAATTTGTTTTCTCTCCATATGTAAAACAATTGAAAATGGCATGAAAATTTCAGCTGTAAATTCAGCTCTTAAATTTGGAATGAAAAAAGAATAACTAAAAAAAACTAAAAACATAGCCTAGCTTGACCTATATGTGGGTCAAATTGCCTAGGTGACCATTTCATTCTATGAGTAAATGATTCATACACAACATGCCACATTATCTCACACAACATTGAGTTTGTTGTGACCATCTGTGACATCATCTTAGCTTTGATCAGGTCACTGTTAGCCAGTGTATTAAGTATAGCACCTGGCTTTCCAAGCTCACAGACTGCAGACACTTTACACCCCTGGAAGACAGGCGCCCTGTGCCACCTATTTCGGCTATATAAACACTGGCTACCTGCCAGCGCAGTCGATCACTGCCCGGTGTCATTCTGATGCAACGGGCATAAAACTGCCGCTCTTGGATTTCCGAACGGCGACACAACATATCGTTTTGGCTCCCTAGCCGGGGCTCAAGTTGCCCGTAACTTGCTAATACCTGAGCTCTGACTAGCAGGCCTTGTTGGTTTTAAATATATCTACTTAATGTTTGTTTTTCGACCACTCCCATCAGAGCTTACCTAAAGTAAGAATAGGTGATGCACGTTTCTGGAATTCGGTTTTAAGAACACACTTTAAGAGAAGCCGACATGATACCACTCGCTGCTCATGCAATCGGTATTGCTGAGTTGCCACCTAGCGACTCACCTAACCACCAGCGAGTTATCATACAAACGCTACCAGTGCCCCAGAACTGACCGCCAGTGTCCCCCCCTCCCTCGCTCCAGGTCACGATGGCCAGCTTCGCCGTGGGCTCGGTGGTGCGCCGCTGCGGGCGGCTGGCCGGCGGCGCGGCGCGTCTCAGCACCTCGGCGCGCGCGCTCGGCGGAGACGGCATGCCGGCCATCATCGAGCGTCACGGCAAGCGTGAGGTGATCGGCTACGGGTACAACGGGCAGCCCAACTACATCGACCGCGTCGACTACCCGATCCCGGCCGTCCGCTTCAAGGAGGAGACGCCCCAGATCAAGGTGAGGGTCGGAGAAGGGACCGGCTCGGGATGTGGTTGCGGCAGTGGTCAGACTGGACTGGGTGGGGACTCGGGAGGCCGGTGGTCTAAGAGAAAGTCTGTTTTTAATTTTAATGCTTGTCGATTTGTCGAGCTTTGGGGTCAGTATATGTTATATTGACAGTTGCAAATTTTTCAAAAATCGACTTTCGGAAAGCTGTGACTTGTGACACAGTTGAGTAGGCAAATAGAACATCATCAAACGGGTTGGGCATTCATGCCAATTGCCAAGTAGATGCGATCTCGCGAGTCCGGACTCGGCGACAAGCCTGACCGTCCTGGGTAGATGGCGCTTCAGTTGGCGTCTCGAGTCTCGGCATAGGTCGCGCTGCCGCTGTCAAACACGTTAAGTTCTGCCATGGCCTGGACTGCCACATATTGCTCCTCGACTTCTGTACCACAATGGATGGTCACATTGAACAGGTGTGTTTGATTTTATGTGCCCGCTTCACGCCTCTCTCCCGTTGCGACTCTGACCTGTTCTGTTCGTCAGGCGCTGCGTGAGAAGGAGAAGGGTGACTGGAAGAACCTCACCAAGGAGGAGGTGCAGGAGCTGTACCGCGCCACCTTCTGCCGCACGTTCGCCGAGATCCAGGCGCCCACCGGCGAGTGGAAGCTGGCGCTCGGCGGCACCCTGATCGCCTGCTCGCTAGCCATCTGGGTCTACATCTGGATGAAGCTCTTCGGTGAGTTGAGAGGGAGCCAAGTTGGGGTCTTCCAAGTCGACTCTTCGGTGAGTCGAAAGGGACTAGAGGGAGCCAAGTGGGATCTACCAAGTCGATAGAGTGGTGGGACTGGGGTCCATCTCAAGATGAATGCTTGTGGTAGCTTGAAAGATGCAGATTCGTTTTTGTCGCGTACCGACGATTTTTTTTCGTTTGGTCTCCATTTCTTACTATTAATCCTTTTGTCATCACCTTGTGGGCGAAACTTGTTTTTAACGTTTTCAGCCCCAATTTGACCTTCCAGAGAGGCCAAAGAACTGTAGATGGTGGTTTATGGCCCAAGTGTTTTGCATCGTTAGACCCGAGCAATGCAGCGTATCAGTTTCTGACCGAAATTGCAGAAGAAGCCATACACAGGTGCTCCCAGCTTGTGTTGTGAAATTCAGGCTGCTGTTACCGAGAAGCTTCGCTGTTCAGAACGTCGTCAAACTTATATCATTTTCATTGCTGTCAATTTCATCATTTATTTTTTACTTTTTATCCCATACACTCGCGCATTTGCACTAACACAGCATCCATGAACCCACTGTGAAATGCCGTCGCCCTTTTCTGCCACTGACGGACCCGTCGCCCGCGGTCTGGTCCCGCAGTGTACGACAAGATGCCCGCCACCATCACCGACCCGCAGCGCGTCGAGGCGCAGGTGCAGCGCATGATCGACCTGCGCATGAACCCCGTCCAGGGCGTGGCTTCCAACTGGGACTACGAGAAGGGACAGTGGAAGAACTAGGCGCCCGGACGGTGGCGGTACGGGTGGCCTCCGGGCGACGGCTGTGATAGGACGACGGGTAGCGGAGGAGCGGGGAGAGGTCGCCCGGAGCGGAGCGGCGAGGTTGGTAGTTTGTAGCCAAGAGCCCGCCCGGTCCCAGACCGGCGAGGCCTGTAGTTGATGGTACTTAATCAGATTCCCTTTTGAGCCTTTTTCAGACAGGGTGTTTGCGGCTGTGCATCGCTTGGTGGAAGCGCGGGGCTGTGAAGCGTCTGAGACGAGTGGGGCAAGAAGGCGCCCAGTATTTTGCTACTTAAAAGCTTTCGAAAATACATTTGATCCAAGATCGCATACAAGTTTTTTATTCGTCGCATACTGCCGATCTACGCTAATGCTCTAAATTCAAGGTCAGTAGAACGCTGTTTGGCTAATGAAGTTGCAGTTTACATAGACCCACCGTTTGGAAAGGCAGCGGATATGTGAATACCGTATGTGAACTTTAGCTCGCTTAACTGCATTGTCACTTAATGGCTGCCAAACAGCCCACTGACGCCTTTGGCAACCAAACAGCCCACGAGGGCGGAATGTTAATGATTTCATCTAATGGCCGGTCATTATGGTGATACGCAGGGTTCTGTACTTGGGTCGTTACACTTTGCAGACTCCTTGCATAGACCAAGTAGTGCAAAGTTAGCAGCGACGTGAGAAGCTGCGTTTCTAACACGCTCGCTAACGTGCAATGAAAGGGTGATGCCCTAAGTTTCATTGATTTATTCAAAAGTAAGCTTTGTGGTGAGTTGAGATTACGCTTTTGAGATTACCGCCTTGGCGTTATTCTCTGCAGCTAGTGATCGAGCCGAAACCCTTATTCCGTCCTGAACCCTTCAGCGTACCACGCCGAACGAGTGGTGAGCTGGACGGGGAGGAGGAGGGGGAATCCCACTTCCAGGATGATGCAACGTCGCGTGCCATCGACCGCGCGCCCCGTCCCCTGACGGATGAGGATGGTCGCACGGCCCTGGCTATGGCGTAGTTTCATATGGTAAAACGACATGTGTTTAGGCAGCGTCGCACGACCAACGATCCCAGGTGTTATGCAGAATGTGCAGCGACCAGCAAGGACAATTAATGGGCCGGAGCGTTTGCATACGACGTAAAACACTCAGTTAAAGTCGTTGAGAATTTCTGATGTTTTTCGTCTCCTTGCGAGCTTGAGCTTTTTGACATTGTGAAGGTTTTAACCGTTGAAAGTTCGAGAGGAATCAGCTGTCGTTTTGTAATCCGTCTGAAAACATTTCTTATTTTTCATTAGCGTTTTATTTAAATGCCAATTCATGAGTTGATGGCGAATGTGTCGACACCCGGCGACCACACCTTGATTCGCGTCTCCCTAACCTGACTCGACCCTGAGTGACCTGCTTGATCTGACTTGAGCGTTATGCGGTTCTACAAACGCTGCATGATAAACTAATCGTATCAAGAACACGAACGAATTTTACAGCACTGCACCACAAGTTTGAACTAAGAATGGATATAAACTGCCTAGTCACATTCCTCCACGATACGCCTCCAGGGCTCGTTGATGCGCACGGTTTGCCAGAAATCGACCCGGTCCGGAAAGAGCCTCCGGTCGACGCTGGGCTCCCAGTTGAGCCGCATGTACAGCTCGCGCTGCTCCGAGTACATGGGCCAGTCGGGCATGGGTCGCACGTCCGAGCTGGGCCGGCCCGTGCGCGCGAAACTGGTCCACAGCGAGACGATGAAGCGGATCATGGTGCGTGCCGGACTGTGGGCCGGCTCCAGCGGGCGGCCCTCCCTGTTGAACATGTAGGCCAGCTCGTCCGAGTGGGTGACGCCCAGCTCGGGCAGCACCGGAGGGTGGTAGTACAGCCGGCCGGGCCCGCGGTGGTCCAGCAGGTACTTGTAGACGGGAGCCACCTGCGAGGCGAGCCGCATCTCCTCCGAGCTGCTGGCGACGAACAGCCGGTCGGAGAGGAGTCTGGCGAACGGCAGCGGGTTGGTGGGGCTGGCCGCTGGCAGCATGTACAGGAGGAAGTGGTAGATGTTGTGGGTCTCCACGATCGGGTCGGCGCCGCATTCCACGATACTGGTCTCTGATGGGGTGGTGAGGTCCGCCAGAAGGCTCCACAGGGTGAGGTTTCCTGCGTATAGTCCATCGAGCAAGTCTTCCTCTTCTGGAATTGATGAGAGATAAAAGACACCCTCTTCTTCCACAAGCCCGGCCATCCAGGGGACAAGGTTGAACTCGCCGCGCAGGAGAAGAGCTCTCGGATCATCAGGAAGGACTGGCTGCACAGACTCTCTGTCGACGCGGGGAAGGAAGCGGCCTTCCGTGTGGATCTCGGCGATCCGAATCCGGTGACTCGCCTCCATCAGTTGGCGTGCGGACGCGGCCACCGCGCACTCCACATACGCAGTGCTGTCCGACCCTGCGCAGCCGAGCTCTGCGGCGAAGCGGCGTGCCAGACCCTTGCGTCTGCCGCTGGCGGCGAAACTGGAGATCGCTGAGCCCGACTGGCTGATGGCGTGATGGAAGAGATCCTTGGTGAGCGGGCTGAGCACCATCAGCGACACGCTGGCCGCCCCGGCCGAGCTGCCGAAGACGGTCACCGAGCGCGGGTCGCCGCCGAACGCGGCGATGTTATCCCGCACCCAGTGCAGCAGCAGCACCTGGTCGCGCAGCCCGTAGTTTCCCGGCGCGTGGCCGTCGTGCGTGGTGAAGAAGCCGAACGGTCCGAGCCGGTAGTTGAACGTCACCAGCACGATGTCCTCGTCCATGAAGTACCTCGGTCCGTGGTTTTCGCCGTCGCCGTGGCCCTCGACAAATCCCCCGCCATGTATGAATACCATCACCGGCAGCCGCGGGCCGGCCGACGCGCCGGAGGCAGGCAGCTGCCGCGTGTAGACGTTGGCGAACAGACAGTCCTCAGAGCCCACCAGGTCATCGTGGACCCACTGGACGCACTTGCTGCCGTGCCGGGTGGCCGACCTGACGCCGCTCCAGCCGGGATTGCGCTCCGGTGGACGAAAGCGGACCGGCGCGCGCGCGTACGGGATGCCCAGGAAGCTGTAGAATAGATGTCCGTCGGCGCTGTGAGCGACCAGGCCTCGCAGCTCTCCTTCGCGGGTGTGCACGGTGGGAGGTGGCGCGGGGATCAGCCAGCCGAGTCGGAGCGTCCTGTCTGGGAGCCACCTGGTGGTCAAACGCCAGGAGCGGGTAGGACAGACGCAGAGCAGGACTGTCAACAGGAGGAGGAAGAAGGTCCTGTCCCGCATGGCGGGGTGTCCAGAGAAGGCTGTCTCGAGGGTCTAGGCTGAGTTGGTGACCAAAACTGGACTTCTCACCTCACAGCCAGCCGCAGACTTTCCTGATGTCACTGACCTCAAACCGGACAACACCGTCCACTACCGAGTACCGAATCTCATCCGATGGTCCACCTGACCTGACCTGACCTGACCCTTGGTAACCGTCCTGTGCACCGCGTGCCACCCCGGCGACGACTACCTGAATCGAAGGGGCACCTCACATGACACCGCTCCCTCTGCCACCGGTCCTTGTCGTTAGCTGGATGGGCTCCTGTACCTGTTCCTGTCGCTGACCACTTTTTGTGGGCGAGTCTGTCTGGATGGGTGACCATTTGGAGTCCATTTGAAGCTGTGGCAATGCTGATTAGTATTGACAGGAAACGCTGTGACACGCCAAGGTTTGATGGCCGAATGGACTTATGGTCATTGTAGTGCTACCAAGGCGATTTATAGGTATTTGTGATGTGAGACTACAGGGTGTCCCATAAGTTCCTTCTCACCTAAATTTTTCTTTTAGAGGCTCTCTTATTTAAAGCCACGCTTAATTTATTTTATAACTGAGCTTTAGGGGTTGCCATGGCAACTGTGAATATGCTTCACGGTAACTAATTCGTCTAGACAAAATATTTTTTGGTAGAGAGGTCACTTCCTGTGGAGACGGCTTACGCCGCAACATAGAGGTCTCCGATACGGGTACGTGTCGGTATTTAGTCCGCACGTGGGCTATTCGCGACGGTTGAGGGTGATTGAGGCCATCCAGTCTGTAGCCAATGTCTGTCGCTAACTGGACGCACAGTCAGCAAGTGACGCCGATGATTTGTCGGGAGTCAATTGCTGCAAATTTATGCTCTTTTTTTGTCAGTTCTCAGGAGTGAGCCATGTGGCCAAAACTGTGAGGCGCCAAAGTGACCGTCAAAAAGGTCTTAGCGTTAGAAAGTTGGTAAGCAGGCTTTTCAGGATGGATTACCAGCTGTCTAAGAGTATTATTTCGGGGTACATAACTCACGGTCACTTGGGCTTAAACTTAAAGGAGGACGCAAAACAGTCGAAAATGTCTTAAAATGGCCAAACATGTGCTTCATTACGCCTGAGGCTAAAAACCTGGAGGGCCGATGACATTAATGTGGTCATCTGGACTACCTAGTCCGTGTTCGAGATAAAACACCCATCCAAACCCCAAAACGGTCCCATATGGGCGACGGAAAGGGCCTTCGTGTCATCCCGCTTTATTCCTATTGCAAAGGGCCAGGGTCACGGTAATGTGTGGGTAATATGCGACCAGTCGCTGATCAGGTTGCGATTGATACTCCAGAAACAGTGTTGGGACGCAGAATGCTTCTCCAAGAAGGTCTAGGAAGAGTTTCAGCCTTCTAGCTTAACTCAAACCGCAAGTATGAACACATTTTTGGAGGAGAAAATGGCATCCGGGAGGTCGTAGGCCCATCTTCAAGCAAGACAGTGCATCAGTGCACAGATCAAGCAAAGCTTAAAAGCAGTGCCAGGACACTGTGATAGGCGTCTGTGGCAAGGTCACATCCCAGGCAACTCATCGGATCCAAATTTCATAAAAATGTGTTGGGAATATTGAAATCGAGGCTCGTCGAAGCGAAGCGCTGTTCCAGCCTCGAGGAGCTCACGGCGCATGTCAAGTCAGTCTGGGCTAACTTCAAGCCTGCTATGCTGCCAAACATGCCGGTTGGCATGCCGCAGCATGTATTCATGTGTTTGCCTATGAAATTGGGAGCACATTGAGGGGTCATTAACATATCAAAACGCAATGTGCTCCGTTTTACATGCAAATATAAGGTGAGAACGAACTTATGGGACACCCTGTAGATGGGCTCGGGGCTAACTTATCTGAAAACGTGGATTGCCTATTTTCATCTTATCATGAAACGGTACTAGAGTTCATAGAAATATTTGTAGGCAATATTTTTTAGCTATTGGTCGATACTTGGCACTCGGAAAGTATTTACGGGCCAAATGTAACATCAAAGTTCGAATGATGGGATGCGTTGTGCTCCTTTATAACGGATTAATGGTTCTTGCAAGCGGCTTTTGTTCAATACCGTTACATGATGATTGCTGCATGCTGTGTTTGTCAGGGAGTGGCTATATAAACTATTATTTTAAAAGTCTACCGGCTACAACCGGTACAGTTTCAGCGAGATTGGACTGAGCCTGTAAAGACGCTGTGCGGTGGACAGATTATCGTTTCAAACGCACTCGCGTATAACGGTGTGGTTTCCGCTACGCCTGGTCCATAAACATTTATGACAGACCAGTGGACTCCCGAGTCCTCCAGACTGCGACATTGATGGATCGCTCTGCATTGCATTTGCTCGCTGCATGACTGGTGACTGCTAACTGATTTCCTAAGTCGTCAGTGTCACACTCGTAACTACCTAAGTCACGCAATTTTGTGCGCTGAAAAACGTCCATGTCATATTCGAGCGTTCGCTCGGTCTTTTGAAGCCATCGTCCCGGAAAACAAAAACTACCGCAGTCGTTATCGCCACTGATTTCCATACCGGCCTTGCTGGTTTCCTTCAAACGGATGAGGCCTCACCGTCCCGTCGTCACCGGCGGTCAGCAGTGTGACGTCATACCCCAATCACGTGACCCTCCGACGAACGACGCCATCGGGCGGGTGGCGGCGCGCGCAGCAGAAGACGGTGCGCGCGTGCGATCAGCTGACTGGCCAAGGTCGGCGGGTCACAGTTGCGCGCCGTGCGGCTGCCGCGGAGGTGCTGCCGCGTCACGCTGCTGACGACCGCGCTGCCAGCGACATGTCGCCCCGACAGACTGCAGGTGAGTCACGTGACTCTGCACCCCTCGCCGTGACCGGTCACCGGCGGCCTCCCGGAGCGGTGACCTTGTGTGACCTTGCCGCTGCGAGAGCAGCCTCTGCGCAGACTCGGTGGGCATCACACCGAAGTCCGGCGGAGGGGGCGGGGCGGCGCGGGCGATCCTCTGTCCTCACCTCGGGACAATCTCTGGGGATCGATCTGGCCGTCCCCGTGGAAGCCATGTTAGGCGAGCTGGGTGGTTTCTCCGCCTCTCTCCCTCCACTCAAGTCTGCCTTGGACTCTGGACCCTCCAGTGCCCTCGCCGGCCGGCCGGCGGTGTTGTTTTCACCACGTGTCGACGGCATCGATCGGTGCTGACCTTGTGTTGCAGCTCGGCGCCCCTGCGCGGTCGGTCGCCGAGCCTGCACGGAAGGAGCCGCTGCGGCGTCATACCCTCCCCTCCGGGGGCGGTCGAGAGGCCCACTCCAGGCCGGTATCACTGAGCGGCTGAGCTGCGTCGTCCCGGTCCGCACCCGCCGCCGGCCGCAGGACTCTGCGGCTGGTGGTCCGCCGGCACGGTGCCAGACGTTACGTCCTCCCTTTCTTCTCCGTCGTACCGAGCGAGGTCGGACAGACACGGTCACTCACCTCCCCAGACACACAGACAGGCGGACAGACTGACCAGACCGGCGGGCTGCAGAGGCTGAATCGCCGCACCGTCTGGTCTACCCATGTCCCCGAGAACAAGTGATGAATGCAGGCACATGTGGTAAATGCAGACATCCCTGCTGGCGACAGGTGATAGAGCATCGAGCAAGCTATCCGCGCCTGCCATGGGACGCGTCTCTCAATCGGCATCAACCCCCGTTTATCTAATGATTCTCTCGCCCTATCTCACTGGCTCTGTGTGGATTACCATCCGATCCGATCATCCTCCGTCCAATCTAGATCACTCCATCCGCGCCCCGCTCGCGCTGCAGCGTTCGCCTGCCATCCAGGTCAAACCCCGCTCGTAGTATCGGGGTCGGTGCTCGCTGTCTGGGGCACACACTGCGAGTGGAGCCGAGTTTTTCTGACGTCACTGGTCTGTGAGGCCGCCGACAGCTGCTCCATCCGCCGGACGAGCCGTCCTACGTCGTACGGTGCACCGATCGATACTTCAACAGGACCAGTTGGCCGTGCTCGATACAAGCCGTGCACGGCCCTCGTATAACGCCTAGTTATACGAGTTAGCAGCGCCAGCGGCGAGCGGCGTGGTCACTGGCCGCCGAGCTAACTACGTCTCGCCGGGTGCTGTTTCCACAGCGGCGCCAGGAATGTAAATACGCCTCGCACGGGTGGTTTATTTTGGTATTCGGCTGCGATGCGGCAGTGGCGGGGGAGTCGTCATCCGCAGTCTATCCTTCGGTGAACGTGTGGAATTATTTGACTTGAAACGGCTAGAGTGACGAGCAAACTATTAGCGGAGCGTTAGTTGAGCATTTGCGAGCCGACTATGGGTTGTTTGTCGCACTTCAGCCGCCTACTGCGTGCCACTTGGCTTGCGGGATGTGGGGACATCGGGCACAAAACCTCGCGAGAGCTCAACTGTGTATACCGGACATGTGTAAACGGTGTCAGTCTTTGAGGCCGTCAGTAAACATGGTGGACGATGCAGCCCAGGCCAAACTCGGCCGTCGGCGGGGCTGTGAAATTGGCGAGCCAGCCGGTGGGCCGTATGATGGGACAATTAGTGGGCCAGTCGGAGGCAGTCATCTGACTGGTAGGTGGATTGGCCGGTGAACCAATCGGTGGATCGGTGTGTGAACCTGTATGGGCCGCCACTAGTTCAGTCTGTCGGCGGTCTGGTGAAACAGTCTCTAGTCCAGTCTGTGGGTCATTCGTCAGCCATGCTATGGAACCTCTGGAATGAACACTTAACGGGACTGGTCGGCCTACGCAGGCCCCGCTCTAATGATTCCAATGTCAGGGCCAAAGCCCTCTGTAATGGAAGCCCCTAACGTTCCAGCAAACACCAGCACGTCAGAGTACGACCGTCAAAATAGGCGCGTCATTCGATGGCGTTCATGACAGCGGCCGAGTCATGTTCGTGATCAGGTTACAGAAATATGAAGCTTTAGTTCAACCTCCACATATTTGCCGGTTCATTTCATTCACCGTAAAGCCTCGAGATCAACTGTG